ACACACACACACACACACACACACACACACACACACACACTTCTTTCACACGTCATTCTTCAGTTCCTTTCTTCTTCCAGTATTCACCAGACCTCACGAGCGCCCACTGGACATTCCCCTCTCTCCCTCCTCATCCCCTCCCCTCTCACTTCCTGGGTGAACAGGGTTTTTGGCAAGTCCCAGGCGCCAGCACCAGCCAGTGCTTGTTTTTACTGAATCAAACAGATGGAAAAAGAGAGAGACAGACAGAGTGTTGTCCCAGCTGGGATGGTATGCAATCTATAGTGGCAACTGGGAATTAGTTACAGATCTACTTTCTTCTTCTTTGTCTTACATCGTGTTTTACCTCTAATCACTCTCTGTCTCTACAATACTGCTGGTGATGTTTCCCTCTTTCTCGACATACCTTGGTGGCTGCTGCTCTGTTGATGTGTTAGGACTTTTATAGACTTTTCCTGTCCAATCTGTCTTTCTGTCGAGAGATTGTTGCAGCTCCCTCGCTGACTTTACTGAGTTTACACTCTTCATCCCACTCTTCCAGAGCCCAGGAGGGATTAAGCTAAAAATCCCCATTTTCCTCACCCTCTTCTCTTTTCTTTCTTCTACTTCCAGCCAAGAAAGCACCGGACGGCTCAGTGATCGCCAACGGCTACTGCGACTTCTGCCTCGGAGGTTCAAAGAAGACCGGCTGCCCTGAAGACCTTATCTCCTGTGCAGACTGTGGACGCTCAGGTAGGGCACCGCTGAAGGGGATAATTGGCAGGAGGAAGGCAGTCCTCTGTTGATGCACATTTTCGAATCACTTCCTTTGTGGAGAATAGATCTACTACATAACTACATGCAAGTTTCACGTAACAAGTAAAATGGATGGACCATACCAGTGTTTTTTTATTTTTGTTTCAGCCCATCTGCTACTTATCATGTACAGTATACCTAATCGCATCAATAACCCTTTGCTGTAGTGTTTTTACATCTTTGTTGTTGCTTGTTGAGCAATTGATTTTATTTTTTTACACAGTTTGAAAATCAATTTGCAGAGAATTGAACCTGACCTGAGATGGTGGCCCTAAAAGGACAAAATTCATACGGTGAAAGCATAAAGCTTATTTGAGATTCTCCTGATAAATATACAAATAAATATAACCTACATACAGAAGTTAATAAAAACTAAAATTGCTTATTCAATGAAGTTAGTGAACAAACTAACATCATCTCACACTGTGACTTTAAGTAGTCAGCGAAAAACTGGCCTATCAATAGAGCTGGAATTGGTAATTACTACCTTGATTGTCTACTGTCCTTATAGGCCACTATACCAAAATTGTAATTCATGCTTTCATTTATGTAATTGATGTTTTGTAGTTGGATTATATGCAGATTGATTTTAAAAGTCTGCTGCATTACCATTCAACTATAACATAACTTACAAAACAAAAAGTATTGCATTGTCAACTTATTTTCTACAAGTTGATTTTCTTTCTGTGTGTAAAGGAATATGAAGCCTTTGCTTCCTGAAAGGAAGACAACACATTAAAACATCTCAAACAATAAGACATCATTTGGAGAACTGTAACTGTTGCACTAGATTTCTCTCTGCAAGAGGAATTTCTCTTTGAGACGTGTCAGGAATTAATTCAAATTTGAAGTCTTATTTTGAAAGAATCAACAGCCAATAATATAGTGATATTTCAGAAACAATGTAATCATCTCATTAATCATTGTTGCAGAAGGATTGGGGACTTTATAAAGTTTTGTACAATGTTGAGCGTGTGAATTAGTTTAGACAAATCTCATAAAATACAAATTAATATATTCAACAACCTGCATGCAGCTTCCTGTATGTGCAATACACACAATGATACAGCTTGTGTATTACAGAAGTGCAAAAAACACACTGACTGGTCTTTGTCAAACTCCAGATTTCAAGGTCAGGAATAAACTCACCTTCAATCTGGCTCCTAGTTTCATCTAAAGAGGTCATGTCCATTGATCACTGTGCTGTCAAACACAGACATTTCTTGGCATTGAAATGTTGAGGGATTCAATAAAATCTTGGTGTGACCTTTTCCAGCAAAAACACAAAATTGTTTTAAATCTTGTTCCACACCTTTCAATCCTGGATTTTTCTGCATCAGTTTACATTTGTGATATTATAAACCACTGTTTATTTCTTCTCTCATGTATTACAAGGTACATGAATAAATATGTGGGATATGTATTTTGGTTGTACAGTATATTTTATTGGAGTAGAGTTTAAGTGTGATTTTATGTGGTTGTATTATTTTATTTGTTTTTCTTTCTGTTTACATGTATACATGCAGAGATTGCAGTGTATATAATGCAGAATTTGTGTATTATTGCATGTACTGTATATACTTTCCCCATCTGTTCCTTTTCATCTGAGAAATAAAAAAAGAGAACCAAAAATGATGTATGTGACTTGTACTGAATGGGCTGATGCATGCAAACATTGGTATGGTCCTCTTCTTTATATCTTATAATCACTCACAAAGATGAAGGTCAGGCAGTGAGGGTGATGTGATAATTCTATTTATGTTACCATGTAACAGCAGGTACCAGGAAAAATAACAATAGGAGACATATTTTTTCATTGTCAGTTTGAGTGCACTGCAGTGACACTGTCATTTTGAAAATATTTCCCAGAATCAGTATTTTTCAGAAATCAAATCACAAATTTATGATATTTCCTGAGACAGCTCCAATTAAACCACGTTTCTTCACCTTTTGCTAAATAACGCAGCTCAATATCACAACATCCAAACCTCAAGAAGAATACTGTGCAACATTTCTGTCAAGTAATTTAATTTCATTCATACACACAAAGCACCACTGCTGAAATGTATAAAACACACATGTGAACAAACAGATAGATGAACAGATAGAATAAGTGGATAATGGATGACTTTACTCAAAATACAGAAAGTGACAGTGAGCATTGTGTGAATTTGTGCTTGTGTGTGTGTGTGGGCATGCATGTGTGTGTGCGTGTGTTTGTGTGTGTGTGTGTGTGTGTGCACCCAGGCCACCCATCTTGTCTGCAGTTCACAGTGAACATGACGGCTGCGGTGAGGACTTATCGCTGGCAGTGCATCGAGTGCAAGTCCTGCAGCCTGTGTGGCACGTCTGAAAATGATGTAGGATCTCACTTTATACTACATGTTAACACATGTGGCTGCACACACACTCACACACACACACACACACACACACACACACACACACACACACACACACACACACTCATAACACCCTGTACATACAGTATATAAAGTTTTAAACAGTCTTGTTGAGCGTGTATGAACAGTGAGTCAGGAGCTGGTTTAGATTCAGAGGATGCGAGAGTGGCTCCCTCTGGCTGAAGGATGACGTCCATCCACTGAGCTGTACTGTTGCCCAATTAGTCTCCGTGGAATGAAACAGCTTTAAACCTATGAGACAACTTTGAAGAAAGAATTGTCAACTGAAATAAATGCAGTTTTTTTAAAATCCATGTAGTGTAAGGAGGTAAACAGAGTAAAGCAGAGTCACGGCGCAGAGAGAATTAGGAACAATTTCAATGAAGGGAGGTTAGGTCTGCATCTACGTTTATAATTTAAAAATAACCAAGGGGCATATTTGTCACACCTTAACCCTTTGATTTTTATGAACACCAACTCATATATTCTAGTATTATACACATGCTCTGTCATCGGCTTTTATTTAAAGTGTCCCACTTCATAATGACATGTTTATCTGAATATTCTCCTCTGTTCCAGGACCAGCTGTTGTTTTGTGATGATTGTGACAGAGGCTACCACATGTATTGTCTGAGCCCTCCCATGTCTGAACCACCAGAGGGTATGTATAACACGGAGCACGAATACAATGCAGCAGAATCCAGACACTGCATACCAGGATCTGTAGTGTTCACACCTGCATGTATTTGGTCCAAGTTTTTTTTAATGTAAATAATGACATAACAGCACAGTAGGATGGGAGACAATCAAAACTAGAAGGACACTCAGTAGAGCACATAGCCCAACAGTCGCCTTAAATTCAATCAAGCTGCACCAAATTGCACACACTCATAGATATCAGCTTCCTGAAGAAGGACGATTTTTTTTCAATTCATGATTGAATTTCAATGTATTCTTGTTCTCTAACAAATCAACAAAAATTAAAAAGTTTGAAAGACACCCTCTTGCAAAATCTCCAAAAAAAAAAAAAAAGAATCCTGCAGCCGCCTCCTGATCCAATTCAGCACCAAAATTGAATGAGGTCCTCCCTGACCCATACCACATCATTCCACCAAGTTTCATGGTCAGTCCATCCAATAGTTTTTGCATAATCTTTCTCACAAACAAACCGACCTGAGTGAAACCTCAGGCAGAGGTAATGAGGAGAGTCAAAACATGCAATCTGACAAGCTGACTTTAAAAAATGATTTTGAATGTTGTTTGAGCCACCCTCAGGACTCGTCCCCTCTTTTCCAGTAAAGTGCCTTGAGATAATGTATATTATGATTTGGTGCTATACAAGTAGAATTGATTTGAATTGAATTGAATAAACCATAAGTGGAAATGCTCCCAATGCTGTGTCTGTGATCACAGAACAGGAGCAGGTACATCTGAATTCAGTAGTTATTTCCCTACAATACATAAGATGGCTGCCTTAGGATGTTTGATGGCATTGCCATGGAAACGGGTATTCCAAAAAATAATCTGTTTCCATGGCAAGAGTGTCACTTGGCTGAACATACAGCAGCAGTGCCACACGTGTTTAACGCTCGCTAACAGTGTCATGCTCTGCCCACGTATGCAACACTTTTGATTTATGAAAGACATGCACTCAGTTATTTTAGATTTACGCTTGAACACAGAACGTGAAAGGTTAATGTATAAATATATATATATGTATATAAATATACTGAACTGTGCTTATCGCTCACATTACAAGAAAATACATTACAGCCGCAATACACACATTCATAAATACATTCTCATTGAAGAGTAAAAAATACTGCAAGGAGTGTTGGATTTGAACATCTGTCTCAAGTGGATGTTTAATTAATGGTACAAACCACATGCCAAAATCCACAGCAAAGTACTTGTCAAGTCCCCTGCATCTACAAACCACAGGCACAGCATGTGATGTTTCACCACGGGGCTTTAATTTACAGTGTTACTTAATGCTGTCTGAAATGAGGGATTAATTCACAAGGCTTACAATAGCGGTGATTGAACTGCTGATCTGTGATGTGTGTGTGTGTGTGTGTGTGTGTGTGTGTGTGTGTGTGTGTGTGTGTGTGTGTGTGTGTGTGTGTGTGTGTGTGTTTGTGTTGTAGGGAGCTGGAGCTGTCATCTGTGTCTGAGACAACTGAAGGAGAAGGCCTCAGCCTACATCACCCTCACTTAATCTGCAAAGCTGCGCCTCGTCCTCTCGGCCCTTCATCCTCTCCCGAGCCACCTCTCCATCACCCCTCTCTGTGCCTCAGCTGCCTCCCTCCTCCTCTGATCTCCTCGTCGCCACTTCCTCTACAGTTTGTCGCCGCGACCTTTGACACGACCGAGCACACAGCATCCACGGCACCATACCCATTCTTAAACCCATTCTCCAGCGGCGAGCCAACCTCTGTCCTTTTGTGTCATACACGTTCCCTGTTGTGCTTGAGCGGCCACCCCCCTCACTCCTGCTCTGTCTCAACAGAGGAATTCATCAGCTGACTATAAGTTTGCTAGCGAGACAAACACTCCAGCCTGCCAAGGGCACTTCAGAGGCATACTACTCCACAGGAACCCTCTTAAGGGCCCTTGGAAGAGCCCTAATGATCTTCAGCTGAAAGTCAGTCAGGAAGACAGTGAGGATTCATAAGATGGATAGGTGTTAGGCTGAGGACAGGACTTGGAAGACCCTGGGTAACCACAGAGCAGTTTGTTAGCCAACTGTGAAATATACAGTACACTGAACCAAGCTTTCATATCCTCCCTCTGTCCCTTGCAGTGTACTGTATGTCAGAGCTGAGCTGTGGAGCGCCGCTCAGTTTCTTGTCTGCAGGGCTCACTGACCTGTGCAGATTCAAAGGGAGAAAGAATTGTACAGAATTAAGACTGATGCTCTATCTTCACATGTTTTAAAAAACTCCCCCTAACCGGAAAACAACTGGTCAGGAGCTCAGGCCATCTTTGTCCCCGCCCTGTCCTCTCTCTCTCTTTGCATGAGGTTTCCACAAATTAACGATGCATATTAGGACCGACACAGAAGGCTTTAGAGTTCAAATGTCGTCCTCGGATGAGAGGAGAGATGGATTTTTTTCTCTCATCAACTATCTCCGATCAAACAATGTATTTAAAAATGACATTTTAGGCTTAGCAGCTCTCACAAGTTGAACCCGACCTCCATTCACCTGCCCCTTCTAGGAAACACCAACTGTGAAGCCAATGCAAGACTGAAACTCTCCTGGTGCTTGGTGTTTATTATCTGTGTGTTAAGAATGTAGGATTGATGTGTGGTCAATGCAGATCTTTGTCCGGCCCATGCCAAGGCCTAAAAACGTCTTTTTTTATGATTCCCTTTTTTATTTTTTATTTTTCATTTGCATGTTGCTATCTCAATTGTTTTTAAAGAAAATCTTTTGATTGAAATTGAAAAGAAAGCACACTTAATTCGCAATAATGTGTTTGTGATAATAACTGTTGGCCAAACTGTGTGTTTTAACTCTTCGTGTGCCTGTGTGTCTGTTTATGTGAGTTTATTTGAACGATACAGAAACTGTAGCCAGCTCCATGCCGGGAGGGATCTGTGAGAGGATTTTTAAGCAGCGGGAAGGTTATATGAATGTCATTTTTTTCTGTTTCAACAGAGGTGAAACAACTGCTTTGTTCTGCAAGTCACGAGTCGTCTCAATGTAGTCCTGAGTCAAGTGAGCAACTGTAAAAGGAAGAGGCTGATATCTGACATATGCACAAACCAAAGAGTCAAAAAGACAAGTTGTGGATTATATGTGCCAGACTCTTTCTTGGAAGTGACTCCAAGAAGTTACAGCACTCAGCCAAGACTCTGTCTGGCACACGTTGCCCTTTGTAAAACCATAACTTGTCACTTTCACCCTTTGTAAAACGACTTTGTTGAAATGTTTTTAGTGAGCTGTAGAACTGCTGGGAGATGGATTCCGCAACGTTTGGCTCAAGCCATGATACCTGGCTAATCCTCCAGTCTAACTGTTGGCAATATAGCAAAAGTGATATTCTCCAAAATATGAAACTAGTCCTTAATGTCAAAAGATTAAGTTTTGAGTCAGCTTCTTACTAAATCTAATGCCTTTTAGAACATTAACTGCAGAGTAAGATCTGTACTTTATTAATTTCTAACAGGGTACATATACCTGCAGTATATGAGTACTTTTATAAATAACTGTCTCTGATTTTGACACTAAACTCTTTGGTATGGCTTATAAGAAACTCTAAACAACCCCTGTTAATCTCCACTATATTATATAGACTGTAAACAAAGCTGGTAGACATGACCACTCCCATGAGTAAAAGCCTAATCAACTTAATCACCCCCTGATGGAGGCCTCCTCCATGTTAGCAGATGGGACATGGACTAAACTAAAAAGTAATTAATAACAAGATTTTGGGATCTTGGGCTTTGGTGAAGATATCAAACAGCAAAGTAAATTCACAAGAAATTAGTGTTGGAGAAGACAAATTAAGATGGCAGGTAGAATTCACCTGCTAGTTTGCCAGCACATAATAGATTTTTTTCATCGTCTTTGTGTCTTTCAAAACTCGAGGCCACCTGTTTTGCAAGAGAAAAAATTGACAGTTAAAAAAACATTTTAAAATCCTGCTATCTGTCAGTCTGCTCTGCACGTTAGAAGCCAGTATAATAGATCAGCACTTGAAGACCAAGCTGAAATGTTGAGGCTGAGCTTTTTATAAAGTGATTGATCTAGCCAGCCAGCCAGCCAGCATGTATTATTTGTGTTTGCACTGAGAAAAATATATTTTTTCTTTTTAACCCAAAGGCCCAGGATATTATCCTCAACCAGTTTAATTGTAAGTCTCAAGACGACTTAAATGGATGGATTGCAAGGTAGCGGAAGTTGGTGCTGAATTTGTAGGATGTTTTCAATATTTATGAATCGTTCATGTGGTCTAGAGAGGACAAACATCCAGTGATTTGTGAGCTTAAAGCTTGGAGACAATAGCTGTAAATAGGGGATTGAATTAACAACTGGCCTTTTTCATACAGTATTTCATATTCTTGTGTACATATCAAAGTATGAAACAGGTCAAATTCAGCTGGTTGTGGGTTTTTTGAATGACCATCTCATTTAAATGCTGCATCACATCTCTAAAAGGAAACTCCCAAGATCGGGTGACCTGTGAGAATGTACCTGACCTGCAATCGAGTCAACTCCCCTTGATTCAGTGTAACTCCACTGATGCATGAATGACACCTGAAATGTTTCTGATTTCATATTTTGATGTTGTCAGTATTGATTTTTTTAATAATGAAGAGGAAAAAACCTTAAACTACTGTTGGTTTCCTGTTTATTTCTTGTTTCATTGTTTTGGTTTCGTAATCTGCGTTTTTTCAAATTTTGCACAGCGTGGCTGCATTTGCTCTCAACGTGTGTTAATGCCTCTCTGTGTGTGTGTGTGTTTGTGTGTGTGTGTGTGTGTGTGTGTGTGTGTGTGTGTGAATAATCACTTATGAATACTGGAAGGTCAGAGAGAAGCAAACCAAACCAAAATAGTGAAATCGTTTTATTTTGCAGATATTTTCTTTTCAGCAGAACCACTTGGCACTGCTAGGAGATTGCAATGGTTAGTGCAGGTTACAAAAAAAGCATGTGCATGAATGCACATCTTTCACACAAGCCACTTGGATCAAGACGTGTAGCTGTTCTTACCTGTGTAAAAACAGGTATACCTGTGTAACATCAATGTTATATTTGCCACCAAAACAAGTAGTGTTCAATCGAAACAAATGATTATCCTCATTCATCAATCAGATCCAACATGTATATTTGTTTTAATGGTAACAGGTTTAACAATGAAATGGATTTTGATGATATTTGAATATAATGGACACGTTTGAGTGGATAGACGATGATGATGATGTCGATGGCGACTGAAAAGCCTTTATAATGGGAGCCTTCCTGGCACCTAATAGGAGGAGCATGGTGGAGTCAAACCAATTTTGATTGTACTATCTGAGGAGGGTGGGGAAGCCATGTTGGGGTTTTGGAAAATGTTGGTATCAGTGTGATTATGAAACTTGAGCCTTCCGTTTGTATAAATAGACAAACCAATGTGGTGGTGGTGATGGGGTGGGTGGGTCAAACTAAGCCGCAGCAACAACCTTTCGGCCTTTAAGTCGAAGCCTACAACTTTAGTACTGTTGGGGCGGCTCGGTCAGAGGGTTGAGACTCGGCCTCTCTTGTAAATTGTCGTTCTGTAATCTTTGCTTGCACTTTTCTTTTTTTTGTTTCATTCCCCAAAAATAAGAAACTTATTGTAAGTGTGTGTGAGTGTGAGTGCTGGTGCACTTTTAATTTTTCAATCTTTGCATTTTTTCAACGTGATTGTCTGTTGTAAACAACACTGGATAAAGATGAATTTTTAATTTGTATTTTTTACCTCGAGAGGAAGATAGAATCTTCCTGGACATTTTTTAACCCCCGTCCCCACCCCTCTCTCTCTCTCCCTCTCTCTCTCCCCCCTCTCTCTCTTTCTTTGTCTGGTACTGGTACCTGGGAATGCTTTGAAATGTGGACTGTGACCGCATTGCTGTCATCACTGCTGTCAGTCATTCTCTGTGAATTCATACAGCTTTCTCGTTTTACCCCGTTTTTTCTCTCTTCCCTCGACTCATTTTTTTCCATTAAAAAGATGAGATTGAAAAATGACCTCTACTTTTGTGTTATGTGTCATTGTGTGTGTGTGTGTGTGTGTGTGCGTCTGCAGGTGTGTGCATGTATTTGTTCTCGTCCCTGTGGTATAAATCACTGAATATTTGTGTGTTTTTTGGACGGCAGTCAGTCTGTCTATCTGCTCGTCTGCTTGTCTGAATCGTTGCCAACTAGGCCAGTTTACCAGTCAGTTTAAAAAAACATTCTCAGGTTGGGAGCACATTCTAGCCCACACAATCCTTCCCTCGCATTCAGGTGTACTTGCAAACCAACACCAGCCATTGTTTCCTCTTTTCACTGTGCAGATAACAACCTATCAAAGCTGTGTGTTCAAAGTCAGTTTTCAAACCTCTGAATTACCAATTATCATTTCCAATTTTGCACTTTGCAGTTGAAACACGTCTATCAGAACCCCTCTGTTGTCTTTTTTGCAGTGCACTCCCAAAACATACAATTCATTTGAATAAAAGAACAATTTGACTTTGGACTGACAAAAGATTAAGGGACAGTATTGTTTAGATCCTATAGCTGCCTGAAGAATTGGGAATGAGGGGGACAATAGAGCCCCATTGTCAACAATTGTTTTTGAACAACACTGCAGAAGGATACACTTTCCTATTCAGGGCAGGTACAGTTTTTGCTATTTGTGATGTATTCCTGGAGATGAGGCATTCATCATAGCTGCTGTGTTGGCCAGACCTGGCTGAGCAACAGCAGCAGGGGGAAGTCAAGCTGATCAACAATTCCATTTTTTTTCTTTTCCTGCTTCCTTCCAGACGCCAGAAAACCAAAAACCAGTGCACACTTTGCTCCTTGGGGAGATATAGGTATTTTTAACAATATGCTACAAAAAACCCCACACAATTCCTCTGTCTATCTTTTGGCAGAAGTCCAACCTTATCCTAAAACCTAAAAACCTACACACACACACACACACACACACATGCATGCACACAACATACACTACAGGCACGTTTACACACATACTGTAGGCTGCATGCACACACACATACACAGCCTGAAGCCCCCATCTTCTTATGGGCGTCATTACTCTGACCCCAGTCTCTCTTACATGTGTGTGTGTGCGTGTGTTTAATGCCCATTAAAAAATATGCTTGTGCATTTGTGTGCATGGGCATGGGATACTGTATGTCAGTGTTTGAATACTGTACTGTGTGTGTGTGTGTGTGTGTGTGTGTGTGTGTGTGTGTGCGTGCGTGGCCATGTGTGTGTATGACTTCCCAGCCAATTACCACATCTACCAGACAGACTGAGACTGCCTTGGCCCTGCCAGCCAATCAGAGAGGGGCTGCGCACTGCCGGGCCGGAGGCGGTTGCTATGGAAACCAGGAGGCCTGTTTGCATGGTGGCTGATGGAAGAGTGATGGATTACAGTAATAGGATGGAGGGAGGTAAGGAAGGATAGGGAAGAAGGAAAGATGGAGAACTGAAGAAGGTATAGGAGGTGGTGACAATGGGAGGAAGAAAGGAACAGGGAGAGAGAAAGAGAGAAAATGAGGGGAGGGGGGATGGGAGGCGACCAGGGGAGGTGTGGAGGAGGATGGAAGGGGGAGAGAGACTCATACATAAAGATATTGAAAATGTATGAATGCATCTGAAATGAAGCGACTTAAAAAGATGAAAAAAAAAGAATGAGAGAAAATGATAAAGGGGGAGGAGAGGAGGGTGGGTGGGGGGGGGTGTCGTTGTAAATGGGGGTTGGCGAATTGAATTTCTGTCTTTCCTTCGTCTGTCGGGGCTGAGATGGGCGTCTGGCCATCTGTCCTTGGAGAAGACGGAGAGGTAACTACCTGGAAAGTTGCAGTCTCACCTTTTTGCATCCTCAGCAGCACTGCAATCAGTCTGTACCACAACCACCTCAGTATTTCCCCCCAGTCTCAAAAACCTGCTCTAACTCAACCTGTCATGTGAGGGCTGAGATACTGCACGGCAATAAGTCTGATGGAATCTTACAACTGTGCATGTTTTGACAACTTGATAAGTTATCGTGAGCAGTGTTTAACCCGATTAGAAGGATACTCCATGTTCCATTTCACCATAGGATGAACTTCTGATTCCTTTCTGTACAAAAAGAAAAAAAAAAAAGTGAAAAGTGATCGGAATGTTGTGTTGACATTAGTGTTCCCACATTGATCCAAACACTTTTTACATCCGACATAGACATTGTGTTGTTCCCCCTGAACGTTTGTTTGTGTTTTAGTTAGTTGCATTTATAAAAAAAAAGACATTTTCACTGGTTCCCCAGTTCATGATTGACAGATCCTGATGAATGAATCAAGCATGTTTAAAGGACTGATATCTGAAAGTGTGAAACTTGATGCAGCTTGATTGAATTTAAACGGGCTGTTGGGCCTCGGTGGAGATATGTGCTCTGCTGAGGGACATTAACTTTCTTTTCTTCTAACCTCATCACGACTCAAAACATAACGAGGTGATGAAGTAGTTACTCTTCCCTTTGCAACAATCATTTCATGAAGGTGACAAATTAAGGACCAAAAGGCATAAATATTACATTTTTAAGGTTTTTAATCTTATATGTGGGCGATGCATCAATACCTATATATTTAGTTTATCTGCTAAATGAGTCATTCACATACAAAGAAGTACAGTGTACTATCTTAAATGTTGCCATAACTTGTTTGAGGTCAATTAGACAACTGGTTTCCTAACATTAAAAATGAATGAGGTTTGTGTCTCCATTTCACTGGTTTTATTAAATTATTATTTAAGTTATTATAAAATTGCCCAGTGATCGTCAAGATGAAAGCACTGAGGATTAAGAATACTATGTTGTTCTCCCCTCAGGGTACATTAAGTAGGTTTTCAAACCTTTACATGGTTGATGCAGATATGATGTTTACTTCTCAGTCAATGAGAACACATAGTTCTTTAATGACCCTGGACAAACTCAAACTCAATTTAATGAGGAAGATTATCCGATCAAAAGCTCCAGAGCAGCTACAAAGTGGACCTTGCATTGACATTGCTTGTGTACCTTTGTTGTCATGGTTGCCAACTAGGCCAGGAGGTCACTAGGCTTTGAAAAAATCTTCAACAATGGAGAATAAAAATTTGGGATTCTGGAAGACAGTGTTGTATTAAGTATAGTGAAAGTCTATTTAATTGTGTTTTACAAGGTCTGATATATTTTGTCAGTATAAAATCATGTTCATAAGCAATTCAGAAAAATTAAATATTAATATTAATAAATCAAGATAAGTATTTTTTTTAGTTGATAAAGAGATTGCTTAAAGATTTTAAGTGTTAATCCAAATAACAAAACTAAAAGGGCACTGAGGGACCACTCTAGCAAGGCCGACAGTCTCCTTATGAAACCACATCTAAATTCACTAGATCTGAGTTTTTATTTGGATCTGCACCAAACAGCACAAAAAATATTTTTTTCATCACGATCCATGAATTATTCTCTGAGAAATCATTGAAAATTGAAAATGCTCAATGTTGAAGAATGTGAAAAGAAAATCCTGTATCCGCGCCCTGATCTGGATCCGAACCAATATTTAATGAGTTCCTTCTTCAGCCATACCTCGTCCTTCCCCCGAGTTTCACACTAGTCTCTGCAGAGTTTCTTTTGTAACCCTGCTAACTAGAAGACAAATACGGACGTAAACCTCCTACGCGGAAGTAAAAACATCCTAAAACCTTTCACAGACAAATTCATTCACACCATAACCTTCATTATCCATGTTGGATGTGTACGACCTGAGAGCCCAAAGGCAATTAACAATCAAATCAAATGAATTAATTAGCTATTTAATCAAATGACCAGGACCATTGTAAATCAAAGCATGTGGAGTCAGAAGAGGTTTGTGTACAAAGGGTGAATTGAGAAAATTGCTCACATGTCTAATTCAGCATGTGAGCAGTGATTTTTGTTTTGTGCAGTTTTCCTGTAGAACCTCAGTGAAGATGCTTTTGAGGGAAGGATTAGAATAAATCTGTGTCTGGGGAACCCGACTCCACAAAGCTCAGTTCAAGTCAATTAAAGATGTCCACTCACATTAACTTCTGGGCCAAATTCAAAAACCCACCAAAGACGTTGGTAAAAATCGATTACATTTCTCGTGTCGTTTAGCGTCACCTCTAATGATTATCTGCCACAATTTGCACTTTTGTGTCATACGGCTTTGAAGCCATCTGCTGAGACGAAAGCGTAATTTACTTGTTTTTAGTTTTGACGACACAGCCCATCAAGGATCTTCAGTGTGCAGGACAGATATTTTCCAGGTGGTTCTGCAGTGCAACAGTATTCAAAGGAAACAGGTGAACTTGAAATCATAAATCAACACTGCAACCTAGAGGCAGACTAATGCAACAACATCTGCCTTTTTTTTTTTTGCTGCAAAAATAAATCAAAAGCAAAATAAAGTAGAGGAATTTAATTTCCTAATAATTAAATCTAGAACATGGGATTTTATATATGTTTTTTTTGATTGATTTTGCACACTTTCATACTAAATTATACAATCTTGTCAATCAAAAACTGCAGCTCTGTCCCATTTAGTAATGATCATCTGACTGCATTCTTTGTCCTTTCTTCATTCTCTGTGTGTTTACACTATTTACATCTTAAATTAGATAGAAAGCCAAACAGTACGGCTCATTAACGACTGCATTTGTTTATTTCCCTTAACAATAAAGCAATTACACTGGGCAAACACAATTATAACACTGTGTAGTGTCTTCCAGTTCATGTTCTGCTGTGAGATTTACATGTGTGGTTAATGTGAAAAATGAATGCCGGCAGAGTAATGGGAAAACACAAGGCTGATTAAATAAAGCCTCAGTCTTTATCTTATTCCTGAGGTTTTCTCTGTGTTCTCCGGCATCCACCAGCCTCTGTGGCTTTTTTCAAATTCAGTTTTATTCAACCTTTATTTGACTATAATGATTTTAAATTACAAATGTTTAAATGAAGTCAACTTAATCGATGAAACTTTAATCTGATTTTCACTTGAGTTGTCTTTTTAGGAGGCAGCCTCAGTGCAGCGCCCATGAACGAGTTCCAGAGATTTCATTTAATTTACAAGAACTTACCTTCTCAGACTGAAGTAGAGATTTAAACACCGGATCGATTTATTGCAAGGTAATGGCAGTAGTCACTTTTTATTTACAGAATGAACTTACTTAAGTGTCAGGGCAACAGAGCTGGTCACGTCTCAACTCAACTAAATGTTAAAGCAAAATGTTTCTGAAATTTTCTCTCACAATGAACCAACTAAATATAATTAATTATCATAACATTTAACTAAATATTGAGGATGATCTAACTTTTATCAAATACATAAACCTCTCAAAAAACATTCTACATGAGCACTTTTTCAAATGATGAAGTTGTGTTTTCCCTGTCGGAAGAAGCAGAAAAGATTGAGTATTTCTTTTTATGTGCTTTGATGTTTTGACATTTGAACTTCCACATCATGTGAGAGTGCAGTGTTTTTTTTGTCTGGGATGTTATGCACAAACATAAAGTGCTGCAAAAGAACTGAGTACAAGTTCTCAATGCTCAAGTACTGTATTTGTTTGTACTGTGCTGCACAGTTTGAGGTACTTGTCCTTGTATTTCAATCAGTGCCACTTCATCAACTGATTGAACTACTTTTTAAAATGATTTTTTTTCTCTAAAAATGTTAGTTGCTTCCATTAAAATAATTGTTCAGGCTCCAAGATGCAAAGCAGAACTTTGTCTTTTTTTATTTTCTGCCCTGTTAATAGTAGTTAAAGTCATAGCTTTAGCTTTACCAGCTACAGTGGGGACATACTATGGACACATTGATGAACTATCATTCTAATTGTCTAACATATTACAATCACATTATATTCAAAGGGGCTATTGTTCTGCAGTAAAGATACTTTAAATAATTTTGACAATAAAACTTCAATGCTTTTATACAGAAAAATAATTCTGTTTGGTTAATTTTCATTGTACCTGCACCCCTACTCTTGAATCTCTCTAGAACTAAATAATCTCTGTCAAAGAAAAGGAGTTTTTCCGTATCAGGCAGTAGTAAGAATAGAACTCCTTGCTTTGTAGGCTATTGAAATTTTGGGATTCAGCTTTTTACCCCTGATGGATTGAGATGGATGGTTTTATATGAAAATATGAAAGTTTTGGTTGTGAGACATTTCAGCATTTGTAAATATTCTGTATCCTAATATAGTAAATATTGCAATTTCTGTAACTAATTAAACAACATGTAAAATTGTCCAGTCAGTCCAACTGTTTGGACAGTAGATAAGGACATCGAAAATTCAATTCAATTTTATATGTATAACGCCAAACTAAGACAAACATTATCTCAAGGCACTTCAATATGACCTGAAGGTATAAGAGCGTAAGCAAACACTTGTCGACAGTGGAAAGAAAAAACTCCTCCCTTCTGAAACCAGACTTCGTGTGGTCGACCATCTGCCTCGACTGGTTGGGCTGAGAGGTGAGAATCGGGGGAGAGAGGAGAGGTGAGGGAGCGGGTTATGGAAGGTTAACTTAGAAAAGTGGGATAAGTCCATATGTTAGGTTTGCACACACAGTGTGTACCTTGATCGTGGGAAAAACAACACGTGAACCCATATCGCAGTGTTACCTGAGCAAAAAGTGTCTGTGACTCAGTTTGCCTGTTGCACATGTTGTAAACATAACTGCAGAAAATCTTGATATCAAATGAAGGGAATGGACATCAGAGAGTCAGAGAGTTTTGCCGCACTAATAGAATCTACATGCACTAAAACATATTTTAATACCTCACAATCATTATAGAGCTGTTGCTCCATGTCTGACATACGTTATACAGTATATCAAATCAGTATATCAAATCTTTTAAAAGTATTAATACTACAGTGTAGAAATATTATTGCAAGTCAAATTCATGTGATCAAACTACTTAATACTTATTACTACTCAAAAGCTAACTTGATTAGCATATCTTAGTTTCTATTTAGTTTCAATTTGTACTCCGAACATGTTTCAGGGTCATTCCACAAAAATTTCCCGTGTTGGACTGCAGGGGTGCAGATAAAAGCAGCGGGGAAATAAGGTGAAAGGTGAGGAGAGGTCTCATATATAAAAGCCCCTTCCTGCTCAGGGGACTGGTGCACCAGCAGGTGAGTGGAAATACACACATGCAAACACACACTGCAAACAAGCTGACCCCCTTCCATGTGAGGGCTTCCAGGCGTTTACAGTCGACCGACACTGTAAAATGAATGTGTCCTATTTTGTTTTATTTGACTCAAGGGGGCGGTCGAGAATTCTGATGCCTAAAGTTTTGTCCACCATGCAGAGCTTGGTAACTTTGTGTGCTCTCCTCCTCTTCCTCTTCTCTGTCCGCGCTGATGTTGTGGAACACTTTGAGGTTGGTGACCTCAGTTTATTTATTAACAACATCTCTATCTGTATGTGTGTGTTGTGTTGGTGATTCAATCAGGAGCGTGTCTCATTTTGTCACTCTGACCCAGGATGAACCAGAATGTATGAAGTACTTCTATCAAGAGAAGGTGCCAGAGTGGGGGGCTTCTACTCCTGGGGCGGCTCGTCTCTGTCATCGCTTTGTCAACAGGTAAATAAACTTAATTCACATTATAGGTTTGCTTCATACTTACATCTTTAAACTATATGTTTGGAGTTAAGGATAAAAAGCTATCCCCAGATAATACATACAATTATTTATCTGGGTCATTTTAACTTTATTTTTCAATCTCAATCAAGAATACTGTACGTCTACAAAAAAACAAATTCATACAGCACAGACATTTTCTTTTGGAATAAAATGTTGCTACAAATCAAAACAAAGTGGCACAAAATAACACGGACAAATTTAGTGAAGATGTGAAGAATGTAGACATTTAAAAATACATTTTGATTATAAGCTATTTAAGGGGAGGATTAGTTTTAGATGCAGTCTGATATACAACTGCAATATCTGCATTATCAAGAATTGGTAAAACAAGTTGTGAAGCAAATTTCTTTCTTACAGTGAAGTATCTAGATCGATAAAGAAAAACTGATACTATAGTTACTTTTCTTCAACTCTTTGCAAATAAGTGCCATCAAGACAGGAAATAACGCATGAGTGGTTTTTGTTGTAATGTTTTGGTGAGTCAGTCTTGTTAGTTAATATTTTTAGAATAAATGGTTCTTTGGCTTTCATTTTCTATAGCACTGCATCTGATGTCTTCATCACTCGACTTTATCTCCATCAGGTACCACTTTGCCACACTCTATGACACCAACCATCGCATTGCTGTCTACTCTGCCTATCAGTTCCAGCCCAGCAATGGAGGAGGCAGGGAGAAGAGGTGGTTTGTAGAGCCTCAGGTTGGTGTGTTCAAAATTCATCATCACCATAATTTGTCATACATATCCAGTATGGAGAGCATTAATGCATAAATAAAGAATCTATATATTTTTAGTACAAGGATATTAAAGGGGGAACTGAGTTAGTTTTTGCCTTTTAGTTGGTTAACTCGTCCTGGCAAGCCGAGATGAGGGATGGCTACTGGCTGGGGAAGGACCACCCTGGGGTCTACCTGGGAGAGAGACAGGCTCTGAATGACGACTACAAACACTCTGGCTTCGACCGCGGCCACCTTAACCCCAACGGACACCATGCGGGTAGGACGAGTTTGTTTGTTACACCAAAAATGTCAAGTTCAACAGTGGCTGTGTAAATTACTGTATATTGTTCACAGTAAAATTATATATAATTATTATGTAAGGTTGTTTTTTCAAATTATTTTCCCAAACAGCATTCATTTAATATTTATCCTTGAGGAATGACACACATCTTTCGGTCTTTTCCCTTATGCATCACTTCTTCTTGCATTATCAACTGGAACTCTCATCCCTCTCTTTTACAGTCCCTGGCCGCAACGCCACTTTCACCCTGACCAATGTGGTTCCTCAGAACCCTAAGCTGAACCAGAACGCCTGGAGGATCCACGAGTCCGAGCTCAACGACCTTTTCCGCAGCAAGTGCTCTACGGCCTACGTGCTGGTTGGTGCTGTTCCCTCAGCAGACAACTGGATTGTGAAAAACAACATCAAGCGTGTGAACATCCCAGACTACCTGTGGAACGCTTACTGCTGTGTTGACAACAATGGGAGGCCCCTTCAGGGCGGTGCTGCCACAGCGAGGAACACAGAGGACAACTGGGTGGAGAATCTCTCTCTGGATGAGCTGGGAGAATTCCTCCAGCAGTTCTCCAATCAACCAGTAGGGGAGCTGTTTTACAATAATTGCAGGGCATGAAAGAAGGGATGATGAGGACAGAACCTTAAATCTTTACATTAGATTTTAATAACTGCCTGATGCTGTTTCGGTATTGATATTATTGTGATAAATAATTCATGGATCTCGATGAAAAAAATCCGTGATCCTTATGAGTGTTTTCACTTCTGTAACCTATTGAAATTAAATGTGGTTTCATATGGGGACTGTTGGAGGAGGTATGCGTATTCTAGTTCAGGATGATGTTTGCATAGATATACCTGTGTGGTGTCATACTGGACACTTATCAGACACAAGCATGCAAATACACCCCTGTATGATGACTTCTACATTTTCATCACCAGATAGTACAGGCAGACGAGGAGGGGGGAAATGCAGATAAGTGCAAAACGACAAATGTTTATTTGGTGTATGTTATCATTTAACAGCAACACTAATGCATCCACTATCAATAAATGAAAAGGAGTTGCAGAGGGATGATGTGACTGCTTATTGTTGTGCTTTTATTAATAGTAAAGGCAAATATCAATATAAGCAAGTGGAAAAACATTTTCAGTGTCTTATTTTTTAAAAGACCTTGAAAAGTTTTTTTCTAAATAATAATAATAATTTTAAAAACTAAAGCTTCGAAGTGCTTTCACAAGAAAGCAATTAAAAAACAGTTTAGATGCCAATTAATCATTTATCGAAAGAATTGAAATAAACGAAAGAAAAAAAGAAAAAAGAGAGCAAGAAAGAAATAAAAACACAATATAAAATAATAAACTAAATATGAACAAACAATAAAAAAAACTATTAGAATAGAGGCTACATGAAATCTACGTTATTTGGTCACTTGGTCAAACCTGTAAACCTCTAAAATATGAACTGCCGGGACATAAAGTAAAACACCATTTATACAATAACACAGTTTGATGAGAGCAGACACAAAATTTCCACTTGACTGTAGTTTCTCATCACATACATTTTTATTGTTTCCATTCACATGCAATGCAAATTTACACCAAGTTTCAATAAGAAAAAGAAAAATGCTGATTAACACGCAAATCCAGTGAATATTAAGACCAAATGTTTCAGACGAGTGCAACTAAATGATTGCAAGAGGATGCTGTTATTAAAAAACTGCCAGTCAGACCCCAGATGGTGACGATCCAGAAAACACAATTGATCAATGACATATATTTCTTATTTCATGGCAGAAATGTGCATTCTTTTTTAAAATTTGCTTTAAAATGTCTGCATCATTTAAATAGGCAGTAGTTAGCCACAGTCTTCTAATGACTCCACATACATCAGATCTGATAGGGATAAGCTCCAACTCTGCATATCCAAATCTATTGCCTATTAGCTAAAGTCTCACTTGGAGAAAATGGGGAATATGCTCACAAAGTTGGGTTTTGGTGGTTACCGTGAGCCAGAAATTAAAATTATTCTGGATTCATTTGTGGAATAAAAATGATTTTGCCGTTTAGAATTATTCAATATTTTAAGGTCAAGGGCTAAATAGATTGGTTTCAAAGTGCTGTTTATAGCTTTGCTTGGCTCAATGGGGACAGTCTACAATGCCAAGTTCCCAGAATGTGAGAAAAACAACAATACATCTGCCCAACGCATGTGGTATGATGCCAAGTTGCGCTGACTGCCTCTTGTCCGAATGAAATTTGATTGCCAAATACTGTATCCCTCATTTGTTTGTCGCTGGCAGAGATAAGTACTTCTTTAAAGAAGAGAGCAAAGTGGATTATCTTCCCCACAGCCACAGGATAGTGGACATCAACCCTCATTTGCCTTCTAGGATAATCTCTGCTCAACAAATACACTGCCTACATTCAAATGCATTTTAGTTCATGACAACCTTTCCCTGTGTTATGGTTGATGGAAGATATTTAAAACTTACCAGCAATTTTGCACTGACAATGTCAAATGTGTTATGCAGAAGCAGGTTGCATACAGTTTTCCATATGTAGGGTTTTGAGATATAAGTGTCTTTACAGTCACCATCTTTGAGGCGGTGTTATATTTTGCTATGTTTTATTTTTTAAATCTTTGGGGAAAACTATAAAAGTGATTGTCAATAGACCTGGCTTAGCCACAAAGAACCTACTCCTCTACATCCCTGAGAGTGTTGTTATGTGAAAGCTTTCTATTTGTGATGTAGAAACACTTAAGTTGTTATTCAGAAGCAAACAGGAGTAGTTGGTAAAAAATGACCTAAAGGTTCACGACATAGTAAGGACAGACTAAAAGCTTAATTAGAGAAACATGTCTCTCTTCATCTTAAAACTGCTCCTTACAGGTCCTTATGGAACACAATATATTTTTATCAAATGGACTCCATGAATACATAGTGCTTATGAAYGTAATTATAGTTCAGACTCTTAAGGCTCCACTAGCCCCTGATGCACTTCATGTCTGTTGGGTCTACATACGTTGATGTGAAGCCAAATATTGTTGACAGTGTGATGGACATTTGTTTAGTTTTAGTATTGGCTCTCTTGTGAAGGGACCCATGTGTGGCTTTATGAGCTAAATTGATAGTGGGTTAATATCTGTGTGGTTTTTGTTTTGTTATCACTAAAAAAGGTGAAATGGGGCCCAAATGCATTTTTCTAAGCCCCATCATGTTAATCTGACCATCAGTTTACACAAATGGGAATATATAAAAACAATGCAGAGAAACCAAGCAGCAAAGCACTTCATGACCAGCTTCTGCTCATGTACGGAGCAGACAAAGCTATCTGAACCAAGACCTCTGACCCTCCAGCTTTATGTCAGGGGTTAGATGAGCCCACCTCTTCAGCATGTCGGTGAGGACGGACACCACTGTATGCAGGAGGAGCAGCCATTAACCTGTATGTTTGAAGAGCTGGCACATGGCCTGATTATTGTGTCCCCCCCTTAAAGCAAAGCAGTAGAAGGAGGGAGGTAATGGAGGAGGTCTTTCTTGGCCTGGCAATTCTCACTAATTGCCATCCTGTGTTATTGTATGTATGGTGTTTTACTTTATGTCCCTGCAGAGTAGTTCATATTTTAGAGATGTACAGGTTTGACCAAGTGACCAAATAACATAGATTTCTTGTAAGCACTATTTTATTACTTTATTGTTTGCTCATATTTACTTTATTATTTTATAATGTATTTTTCTTTCTTGCTCTCTTTTTTCTTTCATTTAATTCAATTCTTCTGATAGATGATTAATTAATTAAATCAATTAATTCAACTGCTTTCTTGTGAAAGCACTTTTGTTAACAGACTCTGTTCGGGGGGAAGCGGGAGACAGTATATAGAGGGTGTAGGTGGGTGGAGGGTAGAAAAAGAGATTAGAAACTAAACAGATGTCCATCTTCATGTACAGTGTCAGTGTTCTTTCACTAACTTTTCGAGAGGCTGGATTTGTTTCTCAAAAGAAATAGCAGATGTCGTACGGGCCTAAATTTCAGTGAGATTATTTACATTTTTGCAGAGCACAAGAGGGGACTATTTCAGGAGGAGCGACTCTCAAAACAAGTCAGTCGTTACAGATATGAGATTAAAAGTAACGTGCCTGGACGGGATAGACAGCAAAATGTTTCTGTCAACACTGTCTGGTTCAAGCAGCTCACAGGTTGTATGCACACCTAAGGAACCTGTCCATCCAGTTGGCAAAAGTCAGCATTTGTGGATTCTGCAACTTCATTTATTACAAATGTGACTGTGAAGAGTCTCATTTGAGTTCCATTTATTTTTTGATGAAACCTATGAATGAAACCTTAATGTTATGATTTGGTGCTTAAAATCGAATTGAATACCTTTTATTTCCATTCATTTGTTTTTATTATGTGTTTTGTGAAGCATTTTGTAACCTTGTTTAGATAAGTGCCATACAAAAAAAGATTTTTTTATACCTCTTCTTAATCACACAACAAGAAAGACAGTCAGAATTACCCATACATTGATACGCAGTTTTATAACTTTGAAAATCTTTTTTTATGTTAGACCTGGTCTGACTGAAGAACATTCAGTATAGAATTTAAATTAAGTTTACTAATTCACACACAAGCAAGACATTTAAGAGCTGTAAATATATGATCAGCTGTATTAATGTTTTAAAATATTAGATGAGACATGGTGAAATGCATCAACTATACATACAAGACTCAGTAATTGAATATCCCACAAATACCCAAAGTCAGATAGAAGCAGTTAGAACCCATATCTCTACACTTCAATCAGCATCATACTGCAGTTCAGTCATATTGAGTCATGGGGTGGTCACTCCAAGCGGGCAGGTTGGAACATTTGTCTTCTGTGGCTTKTTCGATGGGCCAACCCCAAGCCTTGAAGAATCCAGTCAGGTTCATCCCCACAGTCTGGGAGAAAGTCTCGGCGTACAGGTTCATCTTTCCTTCGTTGTTTCCGGGGAAGTCGCTCATTGTGAGGTAGGCAGCAAACACCTTCTTAAAGGCATCCCAGCCAAACTTATCCTGGAGCTACATGCAAGGAGAAAAGTGTAGAGGGAAATGWAAGAAAATTGCTGATTTGGCTTCAAGTCTTTCAGTGCTATTTATATTTTTGTGTGCCTGTGTGTGTGTGGTTTTGTTTCAATGGAATATATTAGGTGTAATACAGACAAATTCTCTCTTACCTGCATATATGTCTCCAGGGCCACCCACATGTCCCAATGGCTGAGTTTCCTGCCCCCCTTAGCATACTCCCTTGCTCGACAGTTTCGGTTTTCCAAAGTCATATTTGGGTGAGCCTGCATTGAAGAAGATGATTGAGAAACAATATCATCTCCATGAACAGCTTAATACTTCTCTAAATGAAAGATATAAAAGAGCTRCTTTTTGTTATCTCTATGAATATAAAATATATCATAAACACACAAAAACAAAGCAAATCTACTCCACCTTTGCTCTGTTAATCCCCAGCACCTCTTCATGCACATACACTGACCAGAGGTTGCATGTACACTCTGTGGTGTGTGATGGGAACTCCCAGCAACCTCTCTGCTGGTTGTGTCCCAGTTCATGGAT